GGCATAGCCTGCACGTCTTATATAGCCTACCAGCTGAGACAGGACGTTAATCAATAATAATAATAATAATAATACTACAATTGGCTCAGCTCGAGGATTTTTTTCAGAGGGTTAAATTTCCATAATTACTCATCATTCAAAGTGTTTACCATAATTGCAATCTACTCCAATCGAAAAGAAAAGAACAACCAATAAGTCTATCGTAAGCGAGAAACAATATTCTTGCTTGGCTAAATGCTAGTATACGCATTACATCATCTAAACCCAGCTACACATTCCATTACAATACCAACCCATATTTTAAAGCGTAGTATACAACTACCCTGGACACCCCGACCATCTAACAGGCTTATAAGGTCCTTCATCACCCGGCAAAAGCCAATATCCAGCGCTATCCTCATTCCCATCCCCCCGCACCGGGACCCTCAGCGGCGGAAACGGATACCGCTCAAGCGACCTATCCTGCAGCACAGGCTCCTCGCTATCCACTGATCTCCATAGCAATCTCTGAAGCCTCCCGATGGCCGGTGCTTCACGCGGATGATTCACGACGGACCTGCCAGCGGCTATTGTGAAGTAGCATTTATAAGGAACTTGGACTTTCATGTCGCGCAGGTGTGTGGGGCGATGAAAGGAATCGACGAGGTGTAATGCTGGCGCAGTGTCAATTTTTGTTATAGTTCTCGTCCGTCGCCATGAAGCTGATGCAGAGACTGCGGAGTTGGTGGCAGTACGTAGCGATGTTGTTGAGAATAGACTCCAGATAGTTTCCAGTCATGGCAGATTTGTCGTTGTCTGGCTCTGTACTTTGTGCCCAAATGATAATTTCCAGAGATTTAATGCATGCAAGTCGTCTGGGTAAAATGAATTGGGGGAGATGGAGGAGTAGAGGCGTGCTCTGAATGTCGATGGTGTTGGTAGAGTATAGGAAATCAACTCCTTCGGTGTAGGCTTGTTTACATGATAACAGGAACCCCATGATGCCGATGTTGCACTCTTCTGGAGTTGTTTCTTTGCATCCATAGGCGTTACACATGTAGTAATCGATCCATGGTCCGTGCCAGCCGTGTCGCATAGATGGCTGTACTCCTGCTAAGTTTCGGTGGCAAATGGCGCCTCTCCATCGCCAGGCTTCGTCTCGGCGCACAATGTCCATATGAAGAGTACGCCCGCCAAAGGCCATATTGAGAATCATGGTGCGAATATCGCCAGGGAGTTGGAAGAATAGACATCCTGGTGTACTCAATGAAGTCGGTGTGACAGGACGGCGTGAAGATGGAAGGAATGGGAATTGGTCTTTAGACTGCTTCTTGGCATCCGATATGGATGGGAGGTGTTTCTTCACCCAAGCACGTAATTTGGCCATTTCCCAGATTTTGTAGGAATGTGGAATAGGAGAAGAGCTCGGTAGGTGAACAGCACGGTTATATTGCTCCTGCAGCCAAGGTAACCCTATTCATCAACTCGCTCGCTAACAATTACACCCCTGCAGCGGTACGCCTGATATCTGCGTCACTGACTGCGGACATTTTTTGTTATATTCTGGTCTCTAGAAGACCCGAGGATTGCGGCATGAAGGAGAACGGCATCTTTGTTGGTGTGCTCTATACCAAAGTTAGGTTTATTTTGATATCCAAGTTGAAAAGTTCTCATACTACATACATTTCAATCGACGGAAGCTAGTAGCTACTAGCTAAGATATATATTATGCCCTTATGGTGTTGCAACGCTAACAAGTGCCACTACATATTATCTAATAACTTCTTTACTCTACAGATCCCGCCCCCCTACGTGGGTACAGGTGGCCCCCATCTATTCATCCCCAAACAAGCTTCTTCAGCGAATACTCAAACTGTTCCAGGTAACCAGTACTCTTCTTTGCATCCTCAAGGCTGATAATATCCTTTTCTTCAATCTCCACTTTTCTATCCCCCTCACCATCTCCCCTGCGCACGCCGTTAGCGACCCGTGCAATCTCATCACAAACCGACTTGACAATCTCGGTCTCATCTTCAACTGCATCACCAGATGCCACGGGAACACTGCTGTGAGCTGGTAACGCTTTGAAGGCCAGGAACCGACCGCTGGCATCATCTTGCTTTGGAGCTTTCTGAGTCTCGTCCTTGGCCGAATCATCGCCAGGCTCCGAATCCAACACTCTGGTATTTCTACGTACTAGCTTGCCGCGACTATTGGGTCGGTACCGAATGATGAGCCCCACGTTCTTGTCCGTGTCCATATGTCGCTGTGCTAGGGTTGACGTAATATAAACACCACGCATGAGGCCCTGCACATTCTCAAGCGGGATGCGCTCAAACTCTCGTACCTTTTCGGTACCCCAGTCCAGACGGCAAAAGTACAGAGCCTTTTCTGTAAGTAGAAGAATCGCTTCTTCAAACGTTGTTGTCTTTACTTGGTTTGCTGCGGTGGGTACACTGAGCGTCCAGCCCTGGACCAAGTCCTCGTCATGGTCTTCAATGACGATACCTGCTGAGCGCTCGATGGCTTGCTGTCGTACTCTACGCAGATCAACAAAGTGATCTGAGCTCTTCATGTCTGCCTCAAACTCGGAAAAAATGGTGTCGGTCGCGCGACCAAGAAGGTAGTCGATGAGTGCTTGGGCAAAGTAGTCATTGACAATATTGTTGTAATAACGAGTCAAAGTCAGTCCAAAGTCAGTCAGAGCGCCCGTAATCTGCCGTTTACGCGTTCGTGTAAAGTCGCCCTTGAGCGCAGCTGTGCCGGCATATTGTCTAGAGATGGCATCGCCATTGTCCGCCCACAGGGTGTTGAACCATGAAGTACTAGGGTCATGCTGGAGATCGATATGGTAGTTGCCCAAGGACAACTGCGCTTCCAGAGCAGTTCTAGCACAAGCTGATTGAACCACATTGGTGCGGTCCAGACAATCCATGCAGTTTGTTCGCAAAATGCCAGTCTGCTTTTGCTGTACTTGATCATCTGCAATCTCAACCCAGCCTGAAGATTTCATAAAAGTTTCGATCGAATCCATCAGCCTGGAGACGTTCTCAAACCTCATCCCACGGCAGACATTGTGAAAGTCGAACCACTCAAATCCCAACTGTTTGCCTTTTCCATCGATACCCCCGTTCTCATTTAGTGCCTTTGCATGCTGCTCATACAATTCGCCAATCTTCGCCTCTGTGCCGTGCTTATCAATCAATGAGTCACAGTATACCTCTCCGTACCGCGACGATAGGTCAGTAAAGTGCCGTTTGAAGGCAAGCGCATTTGTCTCAAAGGAGCCCCAGGTAGTAACTTGAGGCTTGAGACTGTACGGCGACTGAGAAAAGAACAATGGTATAGATCCGCGGAATTGTGTAAAAGAAAAAATCTTATCTTGGGTCGTGTCAAAAGTTGGAGTCGAGAGGATCTGCTCAGTCTCCACGCTGTTCGCAGTGCAACCCTCGTCGTCCGTGCCACGACGTAAATAGCGAAGTCCAGCTCGCTTAGTAGATCGACGTGAAATTAGTGTTAACAAAAAGTCTTTGCCTTGTGCAAAAGAGTCCTGCTCTGAGCTGATCTCGGAGTTCTCGCTCTCTGCTTGCTGTGTCTCCTGTTTTTGCTTCTCTAGCCAAGGCTGTAGTTGTATGTCGTCTGGCGTTGCGCTTGGATCAACCACGAGACTACTGGACTGTGAATCTGTGGTCTTGAGGGTGAAAGATCGCTGTCCAACGAAGCCCTGGATGATTGGCAGCACAAAAGAGTGTTGACCGGCCTCAATAAAAGGGGATATTATGTTCTGATTCCAGAAAAACTGGAAAGAGGTCAATGGATTGGCAACACGTATATGGGATACTGACTGACCAAAGGATCAAACTGTTTGAAGAGTGGCACGCTCGAACTAGGCTGCTGCTGGCCGATGCCATTTGAAATGTCATAGTCGTATGAATAGAAAAAATTACCTGATGCAAAGTACATCTTCGTCGTCTGCAAGATTTTCGGCAACAGAGCTACGGTTGCTGCATCCTTCTTGCCGCCCAGTGCTTTCGGTATTGCTGTAGGACTGACTTCTTGTGGTACGTTTTCATCCTCGGTTGGAATGACATCCGGCTTTGATTCGCCCTCAGGTCCTTGTTGCTCCTTCGGGACTGCTGGATCGGCATCCTGCCTTGCATACCTGGCGGCCAGATTTTCTTCTGAGGTAAATCCTTGCAGACGCCTGTTGTCTGCACTCCAACCTTTTCGAGAGAACCACTTGTCAGCAAATCTCCCATATACACCTTTCCGTTGTATGACATCTTCGGCAACGCTGGTCTTTTGTGAAGGACTACTTTTTCGCCCAGTGACTGGGTCCGTGACTTCATTCGATGCTGGAGGTAGATCCCCGACGACTGAGTCCGTCACACTGGGCGCATCGTCGTCGCCCTCGCTCTCGGTATCTTCATCCTCACCTCCTGGTGACTTGTTGCGACGTCTCAGGTGGTCACGAGTGGCTGCAATGGCCTTGTCGGCATCGGCCTGGGAAGAGAGCGGAATAAGGGCGACATCGGTAATTTTGTAAACAGGCTTTCCACGTATTTGTGCGACCTGTTCGCGATCGGATATAGAGATTAGGAAGTGGGATGTCGCGATTTTGAGAAGCCCTGTTCGGCTTGTCAGCAACTCGTGAGCATCGCAATGCGCCCATACAAACACCCATACCAATTATGCCATGTGCCTCGACAGATATAGGCGTAGTGTCTTCCTCGCGTCTATCCTTTAGTAGCGGCCCGACATTGCCCTTGTAGTCGACTTTGATGGCTTGTTGTGTCGTGGGCGGATGGTTGCGGGGCGGGGAGGGCTGCAGGATCAGGCCATCCACTGCTGCGAAAATGAGCAGCTTTCGAACAAGGGAAGGCATCTCTTCGGCAGCACTATGCACGAACACGTAGCATTGACCGGGAGAGATGCGATAGTCGGCGGGCTGTATTAGATGCGCGTAGACATAAATGTTGTTGTAATACAGAGTATGACGTCTTGTTGCGCAACGCTAGCCTCTGTTGCCCCACGCGGCTGATCGGTCCAACCACTGGCAGCGCTCCAGCCTGCACGAAAAAAAGCAAAACAAAAGTAGTCCATCTTGAAGTCATCGAGCAATTCCTGTAGACCTACGAACTTGAGCAACAAGTGAGCCCTGATACATATATATATATCGGAGTAATTCCTGCCAAAATGATGCGTATATCCACTGACCAAACCTTGATAACACAACCTCTCCCAAGACGCTTGGTAAAATATAGAGACTTGGGTATACTTAGGGATTTTATACCCGGTTCCGGCAGTTTGTGGTGTGGCCTGCCATTCTTTTCTGAAGAAAAAAAATCTCATACGCTACATGCCAAACAGATACAAACAAAGAAGTCAGACTCAGGGATGTGTGGTTTGAGGATATGAAAACCATGCCATTAGTGCATAATCGCATTGATTTGATAGAGATGAACATCCTCTTTCCCAAGAATAAGCATTTGTTTGGAATGACGGAAGATTGTGGAGCAACTACTAAACATGTATAGAATGCATCTACTACGGGTCGGCACATACGACGGAACATGATGGGGTCCCTGGCGAAGCAACAAATGCTGGATTGTTTATTTTTCATGCTAAGAACGTTCTTACTGTAGAGCTATGCGCCATTTAAAATTCTTAAACATAGTTAATAACTGTTTTATAAGCATTGGCCAAGGGTGAAAGCCAGATTAAGAAGCGCTTGTCTCCTGTTATGAGTAAAATTCCACGAATTTAGACTGGTGTATTCCGAGCTGACTGCAAATGATCTCTAATACACCTAGTCGTGCACCCATCATGCTCCGTCGTACTATGTGCCAACCCACAGTACTTTTACGCAGGGTAATCAAGCCGTCTCGGGAAGCACTTGCAGCGACCACCACAAACTTATCTCCGTCGGACTTAATAGACTATATCCGCTCATTTTGCAACTTGACCACATCCTACCATACTGCACATGCCTTGTGACTAGGACTTGGCCGAATCCGACACGTCATGAGCGATAATGGATTAGTGGTGTTGGGTACTTGGAACGGACCGGACACGGGAACAAGGCCTCCAACAAGTGGGGAGGGTATAAATGTTGTTCAATTTACAAGAACATATAGCACCCCAACAAACACTCAATTTCTGTTCAATCATATAACCTCAATCACTTTACATACATACCAAACCAGTTGAAAATGCCGGCACAAACTGAGAAAGAAATCATCCTCGTCACTGGTATAATGCATCTGTCTTCTCGTAAGATCCAAAAACGAAGCACTAACATACATCTTCAGGCGGAACAAACGGCATCGGTCTTGACACTGTAATCCACTTCGCTTCCGCTTCCCCAAAATACCACGTCATAATCGGCGCACGCAACCTCTCCAAAGGCGAAGCCGTTCTCAAAAACATCCAATCCAAACCCATTCAAGGAACCGTATCCCTCATCCACCTAGACGCCAACGACGACACCTCTATCGAATCCGCGAGCAAAAAAATCGAGCAAGACTTCCCCCAGCTCGACGTCCTGATCAACAATGCAGGCGTCTGCCCCGAACGCGACGAGCAATGGCCACCCAACCGCGAGTACCTCCGCACAATCTTCGAAACAAACGTCTTCGGCCCCACGCTCATCACTACATCGCTCCTTCCAATCCTCAAGAAATCTCCTAACCCCCGCATTATAAACGTCAGCTCGTCAATGGGCAGCATCGCCATGAAATCAGACCACAGCCACCAGTACGCCGGTGTGCGGTACCCCGGGTACCGCATGAGTAAAGCAGCGCTGAATATGCTGACGGCGTACCAGTACTACCAACTCAAGGCCGACGGCTTCAAGGTTTGGAGTTTTTGTCCCGGGTACGTGGTTTCGGATATAGCCGATGATAGGGAGCAGAGGGTAGGTAATGGGGTTGAGAGTTCGGAGACGAGTGCGGTGGCAATGTTGGAGATTGCCGAGGGGAAGAGGGATGCAGATGTAGGGAAGTTTATTGGGAAATATGGGGAGAAGTTTGACTGGTAAGGAGGGCATGGAAGTGTTGTTGTTGGCATTGAGGGTGAGATTTGGAAGTAGTGGGCGTGGCTGTTCACATTCAGTGGGAGTATCTATTTCTGCTGAGTGAGTACTGAAGTGGCCCGGGGCTGCTTGCAATCCAGCATAGCGATGCATCAGAGTTGTTGAACTCAATATATGTTGGGTAGCTTTGAAGAACAATAGTCTTTATGGACACAAAATGGGCTGGCATGACTACGTATATAATAGGGTGGAGTGACAGCCTCCACTCTCTATCGATGAGCGACCAGGAAGGCACAGATAACACTAACAGCTGTTGAGTTACGCACTCAATAGGCGTAGTAGTGCTTTGGGACCCCGTCTGAGAATCTCAGGACTAGTCTCAGAGGCGGCAGGTGACGACATGGCGCGTCGGTACCAGGCGAACAGTGTGCAAGGAGTGGACTTGGAATTGCCAGAAAGCTACTTACTATAGAAATGGGGGGTAATGAGGTTTCACGTGCCCGGCGAAAAAACGCTCGGCCCGACCGAGTCAACTGCTTGATCCCTTACGTACACCCAACCCAGTTTGGTCAAGATCCTGCGCTACGCCAAAGTACCATGGAAGCACTGCCACAGTTAGTTTTGGAGTTAGTATGTGAATATCTTGGGCAATGTGAACCGCATAGGGCCAGTTTGTTAGCTTTTGCGTCGGCTAGCAGGGTATGCCGCGCTGCGGCTAGGCGAGAGCGCTTTTCCCGAGTGTCAATCAATATAGACGGTGCAGAATTCGATGAAAGATTCGGACGATTAGAATGTATATTGGACGAAGCGAACAGTCGTACCTGTATTAGGGTTCTGGAGCTCGGGATAGGTGCAGACGACCATACCAAGCGCGAGGATGACAAGAATAGTGCGTTGCATGCCTCATGGACGAAACTTGCCCCCGACTTCTACCCGGCACCTCCGCTTCAAGCGTGGAAATCAAGGACTCAGCGTCGACCCGAGGAACACTGGCAACGCCTTGCGAAATTCATCTCAGGTCTCCATCTCAAAGACCTTATATGGGCGTCGATGGAGCAGTTACCTTGTTGTATTCTCGCTGTGTTGAATGAGCAAATGCCGGGTTGTCGGCTTCACGTCCATGGACTCGATTTCCACAGCCTTCACCAGCAGGATGTCCTTCAGGATATTGAAGACACCGATTACATGCTAGCGACCTCTTCGTGCTTGTATAGTATCAGTGTTCTCTACTCCAGGTATGATGAGAGTGGTTGCGCGAACTACAACGGCGAGGCCACATTGCAGTTGTCGGCTGGACTAGCACCCAACCTAAAGCATGTCTGTATGTGGGAAAAGACAATAATGTCATCTGGAGAAATTATACGACAGAGGCCCACGCGACCCCAATGGCGGGGTTTTCGTCCTCAGTCAGACAGCGAATGGCGCGAGGTGCCCGAAACCAAAGGTCAAATACAGGATCTTGCTATCCACGCCCTGCGTGAGGTTTCCGGATTTGAACTAGCCGCTTGGGAGTGCCACAATGACTTTTCTGTTCTGCGATCTCTCCAGCTTGGAAGACAGATGGAGTTGGATGTTGTTAAGAAATTGGCTGATCTTGCAGAACAAGACGGGCTCCCGCGATTGAGATGCCTGAGTCTACTAGCCATCTCCGGTGAATACGAAGAACACGTTGATGCTGAATCGATAATGACACGGCTTTGCACATCACTGCACCCTTTGGCTGAGCTGGGGATTGTTGGGCCCGGAAGCATGAGCTTCGAAGCAATACTTCAACGCCACGGCGATGATCTACAAGTGCTCTGTATCGATGACTTTGTTCTGTCAGTACACCAGGTTATCCAGCTGAGAGACTCATGCCCAGGAATCAGAAAGCTGAGCATTGAGATGCTACGCTCTGCAGGTGATGGTGTCGAGGTTCGAATATACCAGACTCTCGGCTCTATGCGATACCTGGAAAGCTTGTCACTAATGCTTAAATGCACTGGCTACCGTGAGGATGACGGGCCAGATGCCCCTTGCATCCTTATGTCGCCTTCGAACGATGAAGAGGATAAAGTAGCAATGGCAATCGCTATGCGCCAAGTGTTGATCAACGCTGCTGTAGATGAGAGTCTCGCACAATCCATCTTTCAACAAATGTTGGTAACTCATGCCTCGGTCAAAGCTGGCCTACCTCCAAAGCTGGATTTGATACGTTTGCGGGTGGGCAGAGTACCGGTACTCAACGACCAGACGATGAGTCCGGGTTTTCGAGGCATTCTTGCATGGATAGGGAGAAGCTGGATATGCAGGCGCGACCCTCGAGACACACACCGAAACGAGGTTAGGATTGAGGAAGTCGACAGTAACGCCAGGCTCTGCAATGGCAAGCTGCTTGAAGACGATATAGATGAATTGATGGGAAGCGAACAGTTTGCAGATATTTGGAAATCCCTGTGGCCAGAGACAAGCGCAGGGTGGAAAGAAGATTGGCGGAGTAATCCGCTTGCTGGTGCAATAGACTAAACGGTACTTATCTCCCCGCATGCGGGACCTGGCTGGTTCGCATGCCAGCCTGGACCACGCGCACTTGATGACTACAACTTAGGGGCCACAGGCCAAGAGTACGATATTGGAGATTTCAGATAAATGTGGCTACACAGGCGTAGAGTACCTGCTTGGCAGATGTGCTAGACAGATCGGAAGGGCGTGCATCCGAACGGCAAGGCAGTGCAAGGGCTGCGAGTGTTTTCACATGGCACCAACGCTGTTGTACTCGTGCAGTAACGCTGGGGCTCGAGTAACGCTATGCTAGGGCTCGAGGCCATATGACGGGATTGATGAGCTGGACACGAAGACCAGACGTCATATTCGCTGGCACTAATAGTAGTGTCTATTGGAGGACTGGAACGCAGAGGAAGACGAAGACACCAAGGCGTCAGCAGCGCAACAGGCGAGTCAAGTAAGAATAAGCCGCATGGCCGATGGGGCTGCGGCGCAGTCGATAGGTTGCATCGTGGCAGGGCGAGAGACAAATACGAGGCTGGCATTGGCTGTGAGGCGATCTGGAACATGGGGCTGCCCTGGCCTGGCACAAAAGAAGGAACAAAGAGATGGCGGGCGCCTCTCCGCAAGGCGGCACACGGCGAGGAGAGCGTGTCGACATGGTGGGTGGATGGGGCGATGATGACAGCCAGTGGCTGAGCGTGTAGTGCATGCAGTGTAAGTACAATGCAGGCGTCGGCGGCGGCCTCAGCAGCGTACCGGCACACTGGCTCCATGTTCCTCGACTAAGCATTCAGCCCGCGTCTTTGGTCATTCTTCCATTCTTCCATTCTCCCCAGCTTGCAACAAACGGCATTCGCGAATCTCTCTCTCTCCGCTCTCCCCTGTGTTCCGTCGGTCGCTGCTAGTGGTGGTGGTGACCCCCACCTGCTGGAAACCATTGCGCCGTGCGCCTCGGCTGCATCTGCACGCCTCAACGGGCCGAAGTGACGTGCGCTACGTCGCCAGGCTGAATTCAAGACGAGACGAGAAAGCCAGGCACACGCATCCGCGCTTGACGGCGACGACGACGGCGGCGACAGGGACATTGGTTAAAGGCACCCGTCTCACCTCAGTCACTCGTTTACCCGTCCCGTCCCGTCGCGTATGAGAGCATCTGGTTCCCCGTCGCCCGCTGCTAAGACGCCAGCAACCGCCTGAATCGCGACCCGGACCACCAGCCAGGCCGTCGTCGACCGATCCAATGCGCGCTACCAACGACGCCTATGTGAGCATTCACGACCATGGCCGCGAGGACAAAGAGAGGCCCCCGTGGTACTGGCGCCTGATAGCCGTAGCAGCGTCGTGGATGATTCTCGGAGGGTGTGTACACCACCACAGTCTTAGATACACGCACGGAGCCACTGTAAACTAAACCATGATCGCAGGTACCTCATACTGCCCGGCCTCTACGCCAAAGACGCACAGCTGCGCTTCACTCAGGCCGTCCTCTCCGTATTCGTTGTCGCATTGCTGACAGCCGGCTACTCATTCACCGCGCTGCTCTGCTTCGCCTGTCGCGACAAACACTTCCAAGCCGAAAACGTCTTCCTGTGCGAACACCCCCCCCCCCCCCCCAGGAGGCGCAAAGCTAACAATATCCAACATAGACCCGCACTTGCCTCGTCAGCCTTCGGCCTCATCTCCATCGCCTACAACTTCCTATCCTCGAGTGCCTACCATTGGGGCCTCTCAGCCACCACCGGCACCGTTCTAAGCGCCGTCGCAACCCTCACCTACACCGTCCTCTGCATCATCACCTTCCGAGCCGCAAACAAGCCCCCACCCCGTCAGCACCCGGACGCCCGCGCCAACCTCTGGTCCGAACAATCCTACTACAACAACTTCGTCACAAACATGTACCCCACCGCCATGCGCCCAGCCGACCACCCTCCCGCCGTCCTCTACAGCGAAGACGACCGCGTAAACCAGCAAATGGCCCTCCTCCTCCACAAGTCAGATTCCAGACCCAGTCCCGACGCAAACAGCACGTTCCGCATCGATCTCCCCGAAGACCCAGACCAGCACGACCGCGAATTGCATAGCCAGGAACTCGTGGGTACCCCTGTGCAAGCGCACTCGGAGTGGCAGCGCGGCAGAGGGCACAGCAGGCCGGATAGCCTGGGTGAACAACAGGCGTGGATGCAATTGCAGGAGAGAGGGAGAAGTGCCCATCGGGCTGAGAGTGCGGGTGGCCAGAGTACTCATTCGAGAAATTTGAGTCGTGAGGAGAGGAGACGGCAGATTGAGATGGGCGCTCTTCATACCTGAAATACTTCTCTTCTTGCTTTTTTTTGATTTCGATCTTGACTTTTTTTATTTATTTAGGCCAGCGCAGGTGTTTTGGGAAATGGTGTTGGCATGTTCATTTCTTATTTTTTTTGAAAATCCATGGGGTACGAATATGTGCATTTGGAGGGCCATTTTTTCTTCTTACTTTGGGGAACCATGCGGGGATTTGTTTGCACCTTTTTCAGCTGACTGCATAATGTATTTTTATCCCTCTCTCTCTCTCTCTTTTTTCAATCCCCATCTTGGCTTTAGAAGCAAAGGGAACAAACTAAAAAGCCATATTCTGGAATGGAAATTCTACTCTCCACGTTGGCTTAGACCTTGATAGCAAACTGCTTCAAGTACTCATAATGCTCCACATTCGCCGCAACCGTATCCCGAATCGTCTTTGCGCCCTCCTCGCCAAACTTTTCCTTCCACTCCTCAAACATTTGCTCGTCTGACTTGGGCTGTTTCTTCTACTCATCGTTAGTCGCCAATTGCCTCGAAGCAAACCCCCTGGTGGAATGCGACTTACATGCGTCCTCGCCCTCAGACGATCACTATCCAACGCATCCTCATGAAACCCCTTCCACTTCTCAAACGCCTCCTTAGCAATGCTCTGATCCTTCTCCGAATCCCACTGCAGCATACCAGGATCCCACTCGATGCCCGTCGTCTTGCAAAACGCCTCGACCATTTCACTCGGCTTGTCCAGCAAGTCGTCGGCATCGATGACGCAGATTTCCACGCCCCCCGTGTGCCCGTTGGTCTGCTCTTTGTGCGCTTCGTCGGTTTGGCCTGCGAACTTTGGTCCGATTTGGCCTTCTGCCCGTAAGAAGTCGAAGAGGCGGCGGAGTTCTTCGTAGCCTGCTTCGTCGGGCCGGAAGTTGTAGAACCCGGTCATGGCGTCCAGAGGGGGGATCGTGCAGCGGTAGTACGATGGGATGCTGTATTTGGGGTGACGGATCAAGAAAGTAAAGTGGTATGTGGCCAAAAGGTCTTTGGGGATCACGGTTGGGTTTCCAGGCTCGCCTTCAGTGTCGTATGGGTAAGGTGGCTTGGAAGGGTCAGAGCGTGTAGCGACCGGCGAGAGCTCTGTTGTGTTTGTTCCTACACCGCGGCGGTAGTTGGAAAGTGATGGAGCAATGGTTGCCGGTTTGCCGGATGGTGGAATCCAGTATTGGGCCATGTCTTTTATGAAAACGCGTTTTCCCTAGGCGTCGGTGAGTGCGAGGTCTGTTAACGACATGAGGAAATGCATGTTTTGCTCGGATTGGGAGAAGACGACAAGCTGAAAAGAAAAATACGAAAGAGACCATCAGGAGTTCCATTTCATGCCGGTAATATGAGGAAAGTTGGTTCGCAATCTCCAATTGATGCAAGCATGGGTGGTTGCTCTGGACTTCGTGCAAAGTCTTTGCAAATTCAGATTACCAAGAATTAAAACACGGAGACTAGCCGTGCTCACCAGTAATATGTTTGGGCAAGAGTAAGGAACTAGAAATTTTGAAATTTCAAACAAGAAAACAAAAAAAACTTCATAAGAAAAGAAAGACGGATGGTATAGTCGAGACGTTGCAGATGATGCTAAAAAGGACTCCAGGGATGAGATATCTTGAAAAGAGAGGCGATAACACTGTAGAAACACACGGAAAGATTAGCAAACGAACCTCTTCGTTCTCTCTCGCGATGCGGTCGAAAATCGTCCTGTAAGTGCTCTCTTCATAACCACTCTCTTTCCTGGCTTTTGGGTCGTTCTCATAGCGCTCAGCAAGACGTTCAGGGCCGAAATAGTAAGCGTCGCCAAAAGGCTCGTGAACACATTGGAGGGTTTCGTGACGTGTCATGAAGACCTAGATGACTGTGAGAACCTTATTTTGTGAGGAGGGGAAACAATGGCGTCGTGCTCACCCGCTCAAAAGCTGTTGAGCATGCTCGGGGATGAGTCGCTACAAAGATTGGTTTGCTCGCCATTATGAGCAACCGTCGAATATGCTGCAGAATCTGTATTCCAAGTATCCTACAAAAGACGAGATTTATGCTTAATGAAGCACTTGGTGGGGGGATGGTAGTTAAGAGAGAAGTCCGGATGGTTTCCAATCTAGACAACACTGCACACTAAAAGCCTCCCCTTGAGAAAAGAAAAAAACAAGAGGGGCACTAGCAGACTCTTATACGGCTGATCCAGACATCAGGAAACTGCCGATCGCTGATGGTATGCCTGCCGAAGTCCACAATTGCTGTTGAACACAAACCCTACCGGCGACACGGATTAACAGGTACTAGTGGGCCTAGCAGCAATTCCAGGCGGCGTTGGCCATACTGCGGCTAGTAACCGCGGGTCAGCCAGCGGTGGCGCAAGGAAATGCAAGCAGAGCGGCTGCCCTGATCTAGACGCAGAAGTAAGAGAAATAGAAACAGGTTAGTGTACAAAATCCATACAGCGCAATGATTTGAAGGCCAGCGAGCTTGATGTCACTAAGTGGGTTGTGAACGGCCAAGATGGCAATGTGGTGGTGGGGTTGGCTGTGCCCCCCGCTACGCGCTAGCAGGGCTGAACCCGACCAGCCGACAGGCTCCGAAAAGGTGCATCAGACTTGGTCTTTTCCGACACTCTTACGCGTTGCACCAAGCCGTCTCGTTGGATCGCAACTCTCTTCCGTGTGCTAGACTGCACACAATGTTACCCTGCCAATGCCACTAGAAAGCACGACATAACCTGGCTGCATGTCGACATGGCATCGTAGCTGGCCCGAATAAAACCCCTTTGGAGACTCCCGCGTCGACGTACGTTTATCTTTCGCCATCCAGTCCGACCATGTCCAAATAACGCTTGGGCTCATACGCCAAGTGGCTTCCCTGACAAATGGGAAATGTTCATTCTTGTCGTATGACCAGGTTGTTGTCACGATATATCTCGAGGCTGGTTGAGCAGCCAATTTGAGCCACTCCTTCATGTCCCATCTTGGTCGCTGCATCTATGAGACTTCCTCGGTAAAGTTTACCCAGAAATACCACATCCTCTAATCAAGGGCAGATGGACTTGAGTGTACAGGTGACGTTTGTTTGCTCTTCAATTCTATTCATACTTCCGCAATAAGCCTCGCTTCATAGTACACTGACGTCACTAATGGAGGAAAGGTGGTACTTGTCGAATGAGTAAGCTCTGTAAGCCACAACGACCGTCTTGTCACGGCACCACTATGCCCAATAATACTCCGCTGCAGATACAATTTCTAAGGCTTCAAAAGATGAATCGAGACTTACCAGCATGGCGAATACGAAATTGATGCCATATGCGATTTTGACGTTTCCGCAGCTCGATTGGTTTCACACTAAGTTATACCAAATTAACAACTTGCCAGTTATCCTCACTCTAACCCAGACTCGTACATCACAAACATAGTCAGACACTTCCTGTTCACACGCGGCTTTGAGGGGAAAGAAGCTGGGCTGGTCAACGTGTTATGCTCCCGGGACCTGCAGCAGGGACGGAGGATGTGTGTTAGAAGTAGATTGGTTGACACGTGAATGCACGAATACGCCCAGAGAGCCAACATTTGTGGCGCCCGCGCTAGAGTGGGAGAAGTGCAATTGGATTAAGATTGAGCGATTCTCGGACGGAAGGTATTTAGAAGCGAGTCTCAAGCCCTTGCATCAAAACACGCCCCTGCATGAAGGATCTTTGTGTGGGCTCTTTGGCCCCAATAAGCGTGGTATGGATGCATACCCCTGACCGGCTATCTTGGCTACACCTTTCATAACGCAAGCCCTGCCACAATCTGTCTCGACTTCTTATCTGGTAGCAAAGCTTCCAAACTCTACCTATTGGACTTACATCCCGAAGTACTTAGGCCAGAGCCACCATATTCCACTGCCTTTTCGCTCCAGCAATCATGACTTTAGATCTCAGAGCCAAGGGAAATGCACAGGGCCAACGTATTGCTGCTGGTGATGGAAGGAAGAGAAAAAGAGATGGAACGTCAAATTTGCACTCAAATTCAGTACCCAAGAAAAGAAAGGGAAATTCAATTGATTTTGTTCCAGACAATCCAACAGAAGGCCAAAAGATTACTGAAAACAAGCGGATCCTCGATGAGTTTCGCATCAAGTTCCACGAACGGAAGTACTGCCCAGAGCGTCCGGGAAATGTTCCAGAAGAACATCAGACAAAGTTCCAGCACATTCAACAATTAGGCCAGATGATTTACGAGTCATATGCAGTACAGCCTCGACCGGATATCACCAATAAGCCATGGGAGCTTGAAAACAAGACACGGGCAACGCGCGTAAGCCAGGTGGCTGTTGAATCGAGAAGCACGAACGTGAACGAAGATACCTGGCGGATGGCGCTTGAAAATCGCATCTTTGAAAGATTTGAAATCGAAGTTGCATGGTATGTCAAACTCCGAGCTTGATTTGCTACAGATCCAGTACACTGATAGAAGGTAGCCAGCAGTGCCGCAAACGTCGGTGGCAATCCCTTGTCGAGGTAAACTCGACAGAAAGTAACAGTCGAACAAAGAACCTCGCGGAGCGTCAAAAACATCGTTCAGTATGCGAATGTGAGCCATTTTCAAAACAGTATAGCATGTAAGTTGATGAAGTCACCAAGCAAAACATGACAACTAATTGTGAATCTAGTTTGCCCACAGGGCTGACTGACATTTTTACCACTCGCATTGGCGAGCGAAGCGTAATCCAGAATGACCCCGAAAATCATCGTCAGATAGAGATGCAACCTGATCGAATCTACGGGCTGAAAACTACAGATGCCATTGAGAAGATCTTGGAGCGACCACATAATTCCTACCTAGGAAAAGACCCTGAGATCGATGAACTGCTCAACAGATTGACTATCAGCTGTAACCCAGATAGTGGTGGGCGAGCCTCCATCTACCCATTCTTAGTAATGGAAGCCAAAAGCCTCAAAAGCAACAGCGACTTTCGGAAAATTGAGATACAAACGGCAGTACCGATACGGAATCATCTGTACCTACAGCTGAAGCTCCAAGAAGATGAATTCAATAGAATGCCGATACCAGGGGGCCCATTATCTTGGTTTCTTGCGTACGTTGGTGAGATGTGGAGGGTATACGGATGTTACGTCACAAAGTCTGGCCCAGACGATCTGCCCTATTATGTGAGTTGATTCGGATTATTTGATTCTTTTGTTGACACAGAAGCAGAACATCGTACTCCTGTGGGAAGGGAGTATTACTGGCTATGACGAAGCACTTCAACTGGTTCTAATTATGGACTACATCGTTGATTGGGCCCGTGATATCTTCCGTCCCAGTATCATAAGGCAACTTATGTCTGTGGTAGATAAAGGCTCGCGATCATCCTACACAATCATCGAAGAACCCGACATTCTTTCAATACCGGGTTACGCAAACTCTTGGTGTGGCGACAGACTTGACGGTACTATTACCGGAGCTGAGACAATTGGGGTGCCCAACCAACCGGCCTTCGATGCAATGGACTCCACCATTGAATCTTCTTTCCAACCCCTCTTTGAGACCACCGGAGAACATGTCGATTTCAGGGTCTGGGAATGCGCCAAGTATGAGGCGCGAGTACGAGGGCTGTACATCACCGGAAACGACACTGCTGCCAATGAACATCTGGCGTACTCGTGCTACCGAAGGTTGAAAACGGTTTATATGAGTCGTTGCTGGTTTCTTTTACCACACGCCCAGGACGTCAAGACTATCGAACAGGCTTGGACAGGGAGCCAAGAGATCAAAGACGTGCAAGATATGTCGCCACAGAGAATCCTGATTTCGCTCTATGTGCAGTACCGCAAAGATGGTGGTGGCATGCCCGTACGAGAATTGACGTATCTTGCTCTCACTGAATCAGCCGCCAAGAAAGTTTGGGCCCTGAAAAATATATTGGAGCAAAATAAGCTGATCGCTTCGGCTGACGAACTCGGGCTCAAGCTGCGCGAAGCCTGGGCTTCGAGCAACGAGAATTACTTCCAGCGTTACGCCACCAGCCAAACCAGCGTACTTTGTGCCACCGCATCTGACTTTGATAGGCTGTCAGATCGTGTCGTCCTTGGTTTCCATGACAGTCGCGATGCCACGAACTATGCCAGAAGACTCAACACTTTTATCCAGAACACTTGTGAGAAACCGCGAGCGCAGCTTTACAAAATTTACGCACCATGTTTCCGATACACCAAGACCATTCATTCGCTTACCGTGGAGCCTCATTCTTCCATAGACCCCACCCAAGCTTGTGTTTTCGTAAACACAGAAGCGATGCTCACTGGAATATGCGCCTATATTACAAAACCAGCATCTGAAGAAGTCAACGACGAATGGGTAATCCGGCATCTAGTTCAGATGGTACTGGCCCTTTGGGATTACACAGTGTTAGATGAGGAAAAGTTTTTCTATACAGAAAGGTTCCCTGAGAGCAAAATCCTACTCTGGATCGTGTCAGATCCTCAATGGAATTCGTACATTTCGATCAAGTCTACTCTGACGATGCCTGGTATGAACAATGTTCATGAAAGTTTAACATGGTTTCGCAAAGTGTTGCTCAGACATAAGTGTGGAACAGGTACTTTTGGGAGAACCTACCGAGAAGGTTACAGAAACATCCAGTACGACATTATGGAAGCTTGCAAGAAGTGTGATTTCAAGTACAGCCATGATCGACATTCACAAAATTTTGAATTTTGTGACGAAGACTTTATGCCAGAATGATGTCCTAGGAATGGGTTCAGATGATTGTGGGTACAGACTTTCTCGTAACCGCCATTTCTCGAACTTGTAAGATCTAAATGGTGTTGCCAATTTAATACATAACCATCCAGCCTCTGATGGATGGGTACCATATAGCATAATGATAAGTTCCATATTTCCAAGCACAGTTCAACGATCAATCACAATCTTCCAAATAATCTAGCTATGCACAAATATCAAGATGAATTAGGAATACATATAAAAAACCTTTGCAGCCGCTGAGAGAGAGCCAGTACCCGTTGCGCTGACGTCCCACCTTCGAGCTCATTAATGGGGTTACAGTTTACTATAAGGAACATGGCCTTCGCAGACTATACAACATGCAAACTGGGGTAGAAACTGACTGAATAAATACGAGAGAAGAAACCACACGCAGCCACGTCCGATCCTAACGCTTGATCCGGAGTTTCAAGCTTGAGACCGTGATATTAGCTTACATGCTCTACAAGACTGCCCCCATCCTTGATCCAACAAGATGAAAGATCGGAACATAGATCAAAAGAAAACACAGCCATGAATATTGTGAAAGCAAAGTGCTCTTTGAAAACGTGTGCGTTGCGCGCAACTGAAGAGACTGTAACGAGTTGAAGACTCAGATGCCGCAATAAATATGTCGGGGTAGCTGGGACTTAATAACCCCCAATTAGGCAAGAGTAGAGTATGTTTTGAGGAGCAAAACGATTGACTTGGAGTTCTTTCTCCACGTAACGCCTTCTGTATGCATCACTCCATGTTTTTCCTGTACCGACTATCGGTGCGTGTCAGCCAAAGTTCAGGGCTTGTTCAGCTCAGGTCCACTTTCCGTCCCCTGGACCCGATCCGGGAACCACGTAGGCCCGGTCTAGAAAACTACTTTGTAAGATAGAAACGACGTCACTTTTGGAAAATATACCACTGACAATTATCAGATGGCGCTAGAAAGTGTTAGCGCTTCCATGCTAAAGTAACCCGTGCTTAGCGCTGATGAACCCTTTACCTCCTTCTTAGACGAAACAAAAGTCCGTTTTGTTGCTAGTTCGAGTAGCCTATCCTACAACGTGACTACTATGACGTGAGCCTAGCTGTAAGGCCAGCCAGCACTCCTCTATTGAAACTCTAAACCTAAAACGGGAATAAAATGGAGACGGAAAACTGAGAACCAAACAAGCCCTCAGACGGCTCTTATCGTCAGCTACCACCATGTCCTACTCTACTCTAGCAGTCTTTCTAGCTATCGGCGCACTAACAGCCGCTTACCTCTACACCAACAACAAACGCTATGATACACCGGAGAAGCCGCTCCTTAAGCTGCCACTTATCGGCGATATCCACAGCTCGCCGATAGAGAAGCCCTTGGAAAATTGGAGTGCATGGTCTGAACAAAATGGGCCGATTACGATCGCGAAACTCTTTGGTATCGTACCTATTGTTGTTCTCAATTCGTATGAAGCCGTCACCGAGCTTTTCGGTCGCCGCAGCCAATGGTATAGTAACAGACCGGCTTCAGTGAGCATGGAAATGATCACTGGAGCAAAGCCGGGACGCTCCCGATTTACGCTGATGCACGACTATGGTGACCATCTCAAGTTGCATCATCGCGTTCTCTCACCAAGTCTGGGTGCACCTGCAGCGCACAAGTACCAGCCGCTCATGGAACTAGAGGCTAAGCAGCTGCTTTTTGACATCAGCGTTGCTCTAGAAAAATGTGCTGATGGTTCTACAATTACCACAAAGGCCTTGTATCCTTTGTTCGAGCGGACCCAGTCCAGCGTCATCTTGGGTCTTCATTATGGCCTTCGCATCTCCAAGATCGAGGAGCCAATATTGCAAAAAGTCATTGGCACCCAAGAAAAGGTCACGCATCTTGCCGCAAATCCCCAAATCCCAGATCTGATGCCTTTCTTGCGCTATCTGCCTACTGTCATTTCCCCATGGCAGCAGTCTGCTGACAAGCTGTTTGCATCCCAAGCCAATCTCTACATGCATCTCTTCCATCACGGCAGAGATGCACCGGGCTGGAATGCTACAAAACAAGCCCTTGCAACAGCCGCAAAACATGCTCCGGCAGACGACCCAGTAGAAGACCTCGACCTCGCCTTCACACTCGCAACATCGATACAAGGCGGCATGGAGACATCGCCGCGTCAACTACTCTGGCTATTCGTCGCAGCCCTACACAACCGGGACTTCTTGACTCGCGCGCACCACGTGCTCGACGACGTTGTGGGACGGACTCGTCTCCCCAGATTTTCGGACCGCAGCAGCCTCGCATACATTGACGCGGCCGCGCACGAGCTGTTTCGTTGGCGGCCAGTTTCTCCGGGCTCCATTCCTCGGCGCGCCGATTGGGCGGATAAATACGGCGGTGTGGAAATCAAGAAAGGGGTTACCATCATGGCGAATGCGTGGGCCATTGGCCGCGATAAGAACGTGTTTGATGGGGCTCTGGGGGATGCGGAGCAATTCTTGCCTGAGCGCTGGTTGCGGAGTGGGAAGGTTCGGAATGACCTCCCGCTCCCTGTGTTTGGTCAGGGGAGAAGGATATGTCAGGGAAAGCGTGTCGCGACTGATGGAGCATTTTTGAATATTGCATACTTACTCTGGGCGTTTGATATAGAGGCTGCCGAGGGTGAGGATGTGGATCCGCTGTCCATGGTCGTGGTTGGGTTCATGGTCGAGCCGAAGCCTTTCAAGTTCCGTCTGAAGCCCAGGGGGCAATGGGTACTCGACCTGGTTAAAGAAGAGTGGAAAGACAGCGAGAAGAACCTGGAAATGGTTATGGGTACAGCCAATGATGTTGAGACTAGGGACTAGTTTAAACTTTTTGCTGGTGTTTAAATAAACTGCGCAAGGGTGTCCCGCGGACTGATGGGCCAGACTGTGCCGCGTGTTTTCCAAACTCCCCCCGCGATGCATGAATGAACAGGAGTGCGGAGGCTGACTGTTCAGACGAATCACAGCAATCCTTTTTATTTCTTGCTTAATCTTTGTGACGTAGTTATTGTTTGTGTCTAAGGAAGATGACTCGGTGGTATGCACAGCGATTCACCACGTCACGCAAACAAAGTCACATGTCGTAACACCTGTATGCAGAGCAATTTATCATAAAGTAAAGTATTTGAATATATATACGTGCTGAAGAAAGCCGCACAGGTAGCGTTTGGCAATATGTACATGTAGACCTCTGACAGTGATTCACGCCCACCAATGTGGCACCGGATACAGGTGAGAGTTCCACGCTGGTCAATGATTGACATAGCTTAGAGGCCGAACCACTTCATGTCCGCATCCTCATGAGGAGGAACATAGTGTCCAACATTCTGTGCGCTGACACCTACAAGCTTAGTGCCATCGCCGTAGATCATAGATGTGTAACCGTTCTGGGGAGTGTTTGTAACATTCCTTGTGAAAGAAACACCAAGAAGATCGCTCCATTCCTTGAGCTGCTCGCCCAGATTGGGGTACCTGACGAGGGTGTCTGCGGTTCCGTGGTAGGTCATAAGGCGGGGATATTGGCCGTTAAAGCCTGGGTACATGGCTTTGACTTGCGCAGCCCACTCTGCTGGGGTTTTGATGACCTGGCCGTTTGCGCAGCGCGGGTCGGCGGTACTGGGACTTGCTCCTGGGCTACCGGCTACGCAACCTGCTGCCACTCCAGAGTAGCAGGTTGCGGCCTTGACAACATCGGGATAGGTGGCCATCATGACGTTAGTCATCATGCATCCTGAGCTGCTGCCAGTGACGAAGACCTTGGCTGGGTCGGCCGAGTATGTCTTGATGACATATTGGATCATGTTGTTAAGGCCTTGGTTATCGCCGCCTGCATCGTGAGAGAGGCCCTTTGCGGTGTTGACTTCCCAGCAGTTGTTGTCTTTCTTGGTCGAAGGGAAGATGGTGATGAAGCCCTTTTGCTCTGAGAGGGCATTGTACTTTGTCGATGATGCGTAACTCTCGCCAGAACCTCCGCAGGGATGCAGCTACATTTGTCAGTTTTGAGCTCATCTATCAACAATCACTGAACACTTACAGCCAGGAGGACGGCGGGCTTGGTGGCCAATTTTGCTGGAACGTTTATGTTCATCTGGAGATTCGTTGGGTTGGACCCAAAGTTGTTGACACGGGTGAGAGCGCCATTGGCAGTTGCGCAGATGGCAGCGATGGTGCTGATAAGAGTAGTTGTGGAGTGCATGTTGGGAAGATGTGAGGTGCGAGTGTGACAACAGCAGCTCCATGCGGATGTCTTGCTCCTTTTATGTGCGCTGGATCTGCGACGGGATCTCCATGCATGCTAGACATGGCCAGGGACCTTTTCTCCACCCATTGTTGTGATGAGTACACCCCTCATCTAAGCACTCTACGTAGGCTGCGCACGGATCAGCAGATACTATATTAATACGGGTTTACTCTTTGAGGTATCCAACCTGCTGTATTGGAGTGTTTACGAATCATTTGCCTCTGTTCGTATTTATTATCGTATGTTTCTTCTGTCATACCAGACCCTACACTCCAAGACTTCATCTCAAGGGTCTAGAGCGCAATAGACTTTACTGACGATACTGGGGACGGAACATCACCTGCAAGTATGTACTGTGTACGGCCGGCTTGATCATTCCTGAGAAGCAATCTTTGACTGATGCAAAGCCTCAGTCCGATCGGTGTTTGAAGAACAAGGAAGGTTATGCGCCATCCCAGATATCGAGCTATGTCCTGTTTCAACAGGTTCCCTTGGCCATCCCTGTCAATCAGAACGGGCCAACATCCCCTTCAGCAAAATCTGCCTGAAACAAAGTATCGATCTTACGCATGTATGGTCTTAACTATTACCGATATCCTTATGTTTTTGATCGTACCCGCCGTTTGTAGAACTCTGAAATAAGTTTACAAAATAACGTAAGCGTCTCTAATCGCAAGGCAGCACGTGAAGTGGAAAAAGCAGCATAAAATTATCCTCCGATCGCAATGACCTCAAGCGGCACCTCGCGTCGGATTGATTAAAGCTACTACCGTGCGTTGTTTCCGAAACACCCTTTATGCGGAAAGTGATCGGCTCAACATGCACATCACTCAGTTTTCGCGCCACACAATCCCTGCAGTATCTTCCATGTGTTTCTTAAAGCGGGGATTTCGACCAAATGTAGTAGGTTGGCTAGGATGGGTAAATTGGCCTTCATAACGCCAACGTCTGCCTGAATGTCGGCTGTTTCGAAAGGCACATTCGAAGTTCGGCACTTCTTCCTCGCCCCACGTTTACCGAATACGTAGTAGTGGGACTTGCAAGGGCTCTCTCGAAACATCGCAAGAACTATACATACGGACTTTTTTTTTTGACGAATCCATGGCCGTTGGACTTGCTGTGTATAGAGTTGTAACGAATAGCCTGGTATAAAGATGACGCGCTAATCACCAAACGGATCGGTGTACTAGTAGCAAGTCTGGACGACAGGGCTTACGATACAAGTGCACATGTAAGCATAGTGGCAAAGCAACCAACATGCTGGTTTGTGGGGTAAGCTTCGCGGGGCCGGCCCGAATTTTTTATAGAGAGGGATGACTACAACTCAAAGAGACTGGGTGGATGGAAGAATTTCTCTTCGCACACTTACTTTCATACTTACGTCACACGGTAAAGTATCGCCCCGTAAGTCGAAACTCTGGACATGTACTTACATCTCGTGTTCAGTGGCGTGAGTTGATGGAACGCAAGAAACCAATCCTCTGCCGAATACGACCTGGACTGATGTGAGACATGGGAACGACCGTTGAGAAGCTTTTTTTAGGACGATTTCCACAAGGCCTAGCTCTATACCCCCAAGGATATTTTGGCACTGACACGTGACCCAATGTTAGGTATAGCGCTTTGGCAGATACCCTGTACTAAGCTCAGCTTTATCTTGTCAATCCTTGGTACTACTACTTCTTGACTGCCTGTCTGTTTCTGTTGCTCTTCTTGGTTCCGGTATTGCGCCGCAGCAAAGAATCGGTTAGCACTGCCGCGGAACTTCAACTCGAACCAAACACAGAAAAGATGAACTTGAACATTAAACTACAGGCCAGTAGCAGGGGGTGAGACATGGGAATTCCCATATATATCAGATCTGGAATTTTTGTTTTATTTTTTGGTGAAGCTCGTTGAACAAACGAAACTTTTTCTACCACAAAGTCGCCCAGCACAAAGAAAACCCTCGTACATCATACAAAGGAAACTACAACTGTAAACCAACCGGTAGTCAATTCTGAATTCGATCTACCTAGCACAGCAACGCAACTGTAAAGAAGCAAGTACCGGAAATAGGCATATATTCTGACACGTCCCGAGTGTGTAAGCTGAGGAATGGCTAAAACTTTATTTGGAAAACAAAGACTCTGGATCCAGCTCTTCCTGGCGGCGCCTGAATCGTACCTTGTTGTTCGGATCGATGGTTATGGCCTCAGCAAACTCTTGTAATGGCGTCACATCTGCACCAGATGCAAGTTTTCAGTCATACTTTAGCAAAAGATGACACATTGCAATCTTGAGCTCGTTGGCAGCGAAGAAACAGCCAGGGCACGCTTGATCCTCATGGCCGAATCCCATGTGATCGGGACTGATAGAGACCAAGTGAGCTTCATTGCCTGTAGCAGGGTTTTGTTGCAGGGGGTAATATCGTTACATGTCATACCTTTCTGATTCGGGCCAAATTGGCGGGTCGGCCATGTTTTTACCGTTTACAACTGTGTAATCACCTTTGTTGATGACCGTGCCATCCGCGAGCGTGACCTTTTCTGCTGCAATCCTTTTCATTGATACTGGTTAAACACATAGATTAGCCATTGCTATTGTCCCGTGTTCATAGCAATTGGCGGACGGTACTCACAGTAGCTAACTGGGGTAAGTCGTTGGGTTTCCTTTAGAGCACTGTCCATGAGCTTTAGGTTGGAGAGTGCTGCCTTGCTCAGGCCGTCGGCAGTGAGCACCTCAATAATCTCCTTTCGCAAGTCTTCAACATGGCGGGGATTGCTTGCTAAATGCAACATTGTCTGGTTCAATCACTCCGAGTTGGTGTGGATAGCGGCTAACGAGAGCAACATCTGGCATGCAACAAGATTGTTTACATCTATTTAACCCTCCTTCTCTTGTCACTCTAGCATGTCATTGTAGACTGGGGCGGGCTTGCCTTTTCTCTTTGCTTCTGCCTCAGCTTGGTTGCGATTTTCCAGGATTGGTGCTAAGATGTCGCGTGCTTCTTTAAAATATTTCGGATAAGTTTGCTGTCGTCCACGAACCAAGACCATACACGCTTTAGTGGTCTAGGAAGAAAAGAAGTCATTCTAGCAAACCCCGCAGCGAGCACCGTGTAATTCTTGGAGGTTTCGAGCCAAGCTTCATTTCGGCATAGTTCGTCACCAAGAAAAACCTTACTTGACAAGCGAGCGATCAGTTGGAGAATGGAATCTGTGATGATATTCTCTTTCCATTCTAACAAATTATCGGCTAAAAGAAATATACAGGTCTGAGTACACTGCTTTCCTGTGTTGTTGCCGAAGATCTTGTCAATTGATATGAATACCCACTCATGCCTTGTCCACTTGTACTGTCTTTGATTATGTCAGGCTTAAGAAAACAACCTATCCACAGGCCTGGTGGCGTATGCATCTGCAAGGTCTTCCCTGCACCGCATACCGGTGTACATACAGTTGCACGGTTGCTGAGCTCCGACCGCTAAAAGAGGATGATTGACATGGGTCATCAGATTATATTCGCCAACATATGCGCCAATGCTGAGCTTTCCAGTCGTGGAAGGGTTTCCAAGCCCTATTTGGACTCATCTTGAGAGTGGATATATGCTTCAATTTTGGCAACTACCATTCTGCTTTGCAACTGGCGTTCAGTATCTTTTCGGCAGATATACCGCTTACCAATAAGGTGTTGCATTTAGGTTATTCTATGTAGCGTAAGCGATGAGGCTCGCGAGGGGCGAGCCGGATCGCTGGAGGTCATTATGTTTGTTAAAATGAACAGCACGGTACCACAAGGGTGCGTATGTAGGACGGATCCGGGACCAACGACGTTCCGGTCAACTTTGAATCATACGTACTTACATAGTCAACAGGCAAAGTCTCCACTGCGGCAACTATAGTTCGGCTCGTGGCGGCTATTACACGGCCCGCGGCAGCCAACCGCTTCGGCTAGTCCAAAGTGGCCTTTTAGATTTACATACATCAAGTAAGTAAACAGGCAACGACAGGGATGATACTATACTAAGCTATGCAGACATACAAATCTGTCTAGCCTTTCCTGTAAAAGATAGAATAAATGGCAACTCTACCGATGAATGACATTCGAAACGCCGTAACCGGATGGCCCAAGTGGGGAGAGAGGGATTAAAACTTGATCTCGTGCCCATTCATAACAGGGCTTCCTGATCATGCTATGTGAAGCTTGGCGCAAGGGCGATTACTGAGAACCTCAGATCCCCACCTTTTTCATTTTCAATTCTCATCAGCCTTCCAATTCCTTTCTCCAGTGCCCCAGGGCTGAGCACGTCTTCGTCATCGCCCAGTAGCCCTCGATCAAGCGGACCCTTGCGATCACCTTCAAGCTCCCACAAATGCCCATCTTTGGCCTTGACAAACGCGACAAAATGCTGACCATTATGCTCATCTGACGTGGGTGCAGGTGAAGCAGTATCGCCAAGTTTTGCCGCATCAGCATGAGCCTTTTCGAAGGCATCCGAATCCTCGAGTACTTTAGCTCGTTCCCAGATGGGTTTTGGCAGCGCATCGGCACGAATCTGGTCAAGAGGGGAAGAAGACTGGATGTGGTCTGATGCCGGGGTGTTGAGCAGACAGTGGACTAAACCTATGCTACCGCAGGCGTTACCGATGGTTTGCTTGAACCAAATGACGGGCTCTGTTTCGCCTTTGCCTGCATACTCGGACTTGTCCTTGTCTTCTGCTGTGCGCGCCTCGTGCCATGTTGGCGTGAGTGGTATGATGACAAGCAGTGCTAAGACTGGCCTGGGAATGAAAGCCAGCATGTCCGGGTCAGTGAGGGAGTAGACATCGTGAAAAGAGAAGGCGGATGTATCGAGGCCGAGGTCCTTTGCGAGATGGTTCATGACATGGGGGTTATTTTCCAGCATGGTCCATAGCTTCTTTGCCATGGTGACGGTTTGTAAGGAGTAAGGGTTGTTGTGTGAGGTTGATTTGGAAGGCGGGTTGTTTGGAGCAATAAAGTAGGTGTAGATGGGTGTTCCTACTATTTACCTGGGTCATGATTAGGCAACCACACCCGCCACCACAGCCACTGCAGGATCAACAGAAGCCTGATCACCAGCTTCGACTACCCCACACCAAGCCTAACCAGACCAGACCCCCGCGGAACTGACATACCTAGCCAGACACCACATGACCAGCACCTAAATGAACCACTTTTCACGTAAAACATCGGTACAGCAACAAGATTTTTTTTAAAAGAAAAGTAAAATGCATCGTGCAAAAGGCGTAGAGATGCGTGGAAAGATAATCAAATAGTAAAATACTAAGAAACTGGCCGTTCCATTTGCCTACGGTGCCCGGCTATTGCGGTTCCGCGAGCCCGGACGCGGCACCTTTACCTACAATGCAACCATCACCAAGTCTGTGATGCAATACCAGCATCTCTTTCAGGAAGCTCTATCTCGGCAATTATTTTGCCAGCAGTCCATCTTATCCATGTATCCGCTTCACCAGCATTCTCCCCTACGCAAGAAAAAAACCGGCGGTTCCCCAAGAATAAATCCCCAAACACCTTTGTATCTCCACCGGCTCTCCGCAGTAGCAAAGTCCAGTAGCCTCAATTGGGCGACAACGTCCACGATTATGGCATACATGTACCCGAAGGATTTTGCTGCTCCTAGATTGACATATATCCCATCTATTTCTCTCCTCGGTTGACCCTCCCCTTTCAACCTTAGACACTGCCGACGCATCACTGTAGACTCAACCGGTACAAACCTCACCACCCACGCAAACCATGGACGACGAAGCCCGCCAGGCGCTAGCAAGCATGAAGATGCCGCGCCGCCCCATCAACTTTGTCCCCGCATCCTCCGGCGAGATCCTCAAACTAGGCCACATCACGTGCCGTATCATGGAAGACGGCTCACGAACCGATAACCGCATTGGCAGCGCCGAGTTTACTCTGCCGCCAAATACTCCAGGTCCGCCTGCGCATTGGCACGAGATGCATGATGAGACGTTCTTGGTGACTGAGGGTGTGGTTAGGGTATGTTTATTGTAATCCTTGGCCTCATTCTTACCATGCCTACTACCACCCTCATCCTCCAAACAACAGCCTATCCATACTCACATAACCCACTAGTTCCACGGCCCAGACGGCGAAATAATCGACGCCCACGTAGGCGACTACATCACGGCCCCCATCCGCGCGCCGCACACATTTTCAAATCCAACCAACAAGCCCGCCAAATTCTTCAACACGTACACACCAGCCTTTTATATTGATTACTTCAAGATACTGGCGGAAATAAGCAAGACGGATGAGCGCATGAGCAAGGAGAAGAATCTCGAGGTCATGAGTCGGTTTGCGACGATGCCGGCCATGGAGATGATGACAGAACAAGGAAAAAAGTGATGATAGAGTCCATCCAGGCAGCGATACAGACAGTAGCAAGATTGTGGATGGTCAATCGAAAATACGAATAAACATTTTCAAATTGTTTTTTTTTCAGTACGGGGAGATGTAATTTCCCAACACATCTTCTAAACTAAGAAAGATATGCGCATATACAAAAACAATGGCATTTGAAAATCTCCCTAACAGAAGAAGGCTTAATTTGAAAGTAAAAAAAAAAGGTAAGTTGGTATCACAAACAAATCTACAAGAAATAAAAGCCAGAAACCACTCGCGAAAACATTTGATACCTGATGTTTCCCGATCCCATCTCTAAAAGCTTTAAGCTGGTGGCTGGAAAAGCAAAAGCAAAAGCAACATTGTCTGGTTCGGGGCGTAGTAATCGGTGGGTCAACATGGGCCTACGCAACCATGGCTTGGTTGGCATATTCTGCAGTCTTGCCGTCTGATGCGGGGAGCCTTGCATTTGCATGCGCGAGGCTTGATTGCGCGGCTTCCTTGAGTTGGGCTTCAACGGTTCTCTCGTGCTCGCGCGTGGGCGGAGTGTTGCGAGAGGCCGAGGCCTGCGCGTCATGCGGTGCGTCGTGTTGCTGCGGGGGCTGCGTGGCCTGTTCAGAGTGCTGGTGGTGAGATGGTTGATGCTGTGGAGTGTGTTGGCCATTGCTGTGTGAGGCGTGTGATGGCGTCATCCCATGGTGCGATGGACTCAACATAGCTGACGGGCTTGCTGTACTTGCGCGGTCGCCGGTCTCGTGATCACTTGTTTCACTCTGGCCGTTGCTAGTGGTACCAGCAGGATAGGTATAGCCGCCACGCAATTCACCTTCCCGAACTTCTCTCCATGAGCACTTTGCATGCTTCTTTGTACAGCCCATACATGCTGTCAGGTTTTTCAAGCAGTCCATATGCAACCGTCGACAGCGGTCACAGGGAGGAACAATGCGCTCGCCCTTGGCAAGACTCTCCATTCTGTGCACCATTTCAACTTTGAAAGGGCCTCCGTCATCTTTTTCCGGTTGTTGGCTGGCACGTTGGCTGGAGGCTGGGAGGAGGCTAGAAGGCGTGTTTGGTATTGGGACGGGCGAGTTCATCATGTTGTGCAGCTCGGATTCATTGAGAGGATGTGAAGGCCTTGCAATTGGTTGCTGTGCGCCAGAGGGAGATTCAGTCGGCTTTTGCAGGGCCCGGGATGGGATCGACGAGGGTGGAGAGGGATGAGATGCTGAATGACTGCCAATCGATGGTCTCCGCACTTCAACATTGCCGCTGGGAGGCTGCGATGACACGCGCCGATCGTTCACAGTATGAAACTTGGATAGCAATTCGTGCCGGGTAGTCGATGAAGAACCATGACCACGACTATGGCCGTGCCCATGGCCGTTAGATTCGTGGTGCTGACGCGCATTGACGGCTACAAAGCCGCTGCTACTGGGCGACGGGTGCGAAGGTTGGTTGTGGCCTGGACCTGAGACGCTCGAGTTGGTACCGTTCATAAGGGCGACGTTGGAAGGACTTGTGGGGCGGGGAATTTGAGGCGCTGGAGTCGCAGTGGCTCTGCGATCCAGGATTGCCTGTTTGCGGCCTTTGAGGCGGTGGTTGAGCTGCCTGGTGCGAGCAGCAACTAAAGGCATTGGTTAGAACCGTCAGGACTGATTACGAATTGCGTATTTGCTCGAGGGCCAGGACGGCTAGATTAGCAAAGGAAAGGGGCCGACTCACCTTGATCGGCCAAAGAGCATATTTGGCTGAGGTTCTTTTCTAGAATCTCCATGGTGCCCAGCTCCTTCTCCTCGTCTTCGATAATGGGCTGCGGGGGGATCATCTTTTGGGGAATGCCAGATGAAATGAGGACGAAGTCTTCCTCGGAGATCTGGACCCGACATTGCTTGGTGTAGAACTGGCAGACCCTCACGCCCTCGCTCATCTGGTCGAGCTGAAACTGCTCGGGCTTGTTGCGCGCAAACTCGACCACGTCGAGCCAGGACACGGTGGTGCTGTCCTTGCCATGGCTCTTGAGGACTCTGGGGGGACCGTCGAACAAGCGCTCGAAGCGCTTGATGAGGATGGGACCCAGAGGGCGAGCGCCTAGGTTGCAGGCCATGCTCTCGTGGCGGTCGAGGACGCCCTGGTAGTCGCTGAGCAGCGAGAGGATGTTGGGCAGCGTGTCATCGTTTGTGATGAGCGGCAGGTCGTTCTCATTGTGCCTGGCGAGGTAGTTGATCTGCAAATGGTTGTGCTTGGCGGTTTTGGGCAGTGGCGCAGGCGCCAGGTGCATTTCGTGCGAGGGACTGCGCTTGCGCTTGAGGTCGCTGGGCATGTGCGAGGCATGGTGCTGGGGCGGGTGGGCAGACATGGGACGGTCGTCGTTGTTGGCCATGGCTAAGCCTGTGAGGGGGGAGGGAAGATGGGCTGGGGATGCTGACGAGGTTTGCTGCTGTGGTGGGCGGAATGAGGAGAGGGCAGCTTTCAGAGGCGGCGGAGCGGCGGGCGCTAGCGAGCAGCCAGCTCAGCTGGGCACGGCGCGAGAGGGCTGGGCGGGTTGCAGGGGAGAGCGGAGGCCGCAGGCTACCGAAGCAGAGACATGTCACGCAGAGGGGCACTGTGCGAGGAGAGAGGCGAGAGGCGAGAGGAGAGGCAGAGGGTGGAGGGTGGAGGCGAGAGTGAGGAGGAGGAGGAGGGCGAGGGCGAGGGCGAGGGCAAGGGAGATGAACGGCTCGTCGGTGGCTGAAGACGCCCGAGTGGCTGCACGCACGGAAAGAGGCAGCGAGAGGGGTGGGCAGGCAGAGGGCGGTGGGCGTGGGCGGTGGGCGGCGCGCCGGAAATAAAGACGGGGGTTGTGCAGAGCGGAGTTCCTCGCCAATCAGAGGGCCTGGTCCGGCGGCATGGGCCTGTCCCGAGACGCGACGAAAATACCGCAGGGCCCACGCGTCGCCTGCGAATGCAAATGCAAATGCGGCATGGCACCGGCGGAGACCGCTGGACGCGAGGGGCGGAGATTGCCTCCGCCTGCCCGGCCCTGCCCCCCGTCACGTGACTTGGCGGGAAAGCCACACACAGCCACGCCCCCTGCCACACACACCAGCGCCCCTCTGCACAGACCACCTTCTTTTGCTGCCAGCTCCCGCCTGCACGTCACCACAAGCCCTTCCATATCGCCCAGACTCGTCACTCTCTCACAACCCCAATACAATGTCTGAGCGAGGCGCTTTTCGCGGCCGAGGCGGTGGCAGAGGAGGCGACCGCGGTCCAAGGGGCGGCGGTCGTGGAGGAGGTGGAGGCGGCGGCGGAGGAGCACACGCTGGCGGCCAGACAGAGCGCCCCAAGAAGGAAAACATCCTCGACCTGAGCAAGTACATGGACAAGCAGATTACCGTCAAATTCAGCGGCGGGCGAGAAGGTATGGCAATCTGGTCGCTTTGCAAGGAGCAGGGCCCGCTAACTTCCCCGCAGTCATTGGCACATTAAAAGGCTACGACCAGCTCATGAACCTTGTCCTCGACGAGGTCAAAGAGGCTCTTACAGGTACGCGAGAGATTAACATATACACCCTAGCATATCTAACCACCGCAGACGAGCATGGCAACATCCGATACCGCAAACTTGGCCTCATCGTCGCACGCGGCACCCTGCTCGTCGTCATCTCTCCCGTAGACGGAAGCGAAGAAATCGCCAACCCCTTCCTGCAGGAAGAAGAGTGATTGCCCGCCATGACTAGCGGCGAGGATAGTAGCGTCACCTGTACGCTGTGAGCAGCAAACAGAGAGCAGACAGTGGCGTAGATCAAGCCAACGGCGTCGACCAGGGGCTTTGAAGAAAAGAAAAAGGGGCTGGGAACCCAACACGATACCCATGAGGGACATGCGCGACGAACCCGAGGATAGGATGCAGCTTCCAAGCTGTGCATCGACGACAAGTTAGACGGTGACATGGCCACAACGGGCATGCTTGCCCGTTTCATCCCTACCATTGAACATTGCGAATCAAAAAAATCACCGATACTCCACTTTCTAGTGATGAGGGCTTGCAAAACCACTAAATTCGTCATGCACTGTGCTGAAACCCACCAATTGATCATGCATTCGCCTGTGTATATTGTATGTTTGTTGCATGACTGCGTCCCGACTTGCTCTCTCTTACGCCAGCCGGGCTCCTTCCACTTGCATACCCGCCTACCCCTGTCGTATTCAAGGCCAATGGGGAACATGTGGCTGAACCAGTCGTACCATGACTCTGCTGGTTTGCTGTGTAGCATGTATGTTAAAAGCAATGGTTCGCGCGCGGAAATAGCAATGTGGCTGTGCTGTCTAGTCAATAAGACGTAGTTGGTACCGACCCCATCTGCGGCGCTTCCTCCCGTTTCACATGGCCTTTGGGCACGTATGCGCCAGGCACCAGGCACCAACATATTGACACAAACATCAGCTCGCCTCACACCTGTCGCCGCTCATTTCATCTCCTCCCCCTTCGCACGTTCCCAAATTGTTGTTCCTTGCAATTTCGGCCGACAAAACATTACCTGCTGCCCTGTGACGCTTCATCTACCCACTTTCAATCCGTTTGGCCACTTGCTTACTACCAGATGCCAGCCTGGCGGTATTCAACATGACAACAGTAGCAACCTTGGCATCACCATGGCCAGCATGGACAGCGGTAGCATCTACTGTGTCTGCTGCAAGACCCCAAATGGACACCTGGTTCATCACACTGGCGGCCATACTCTTACCCCTGGTCATCTTCGTAATCACCATCCGCCGCCGCCAGACGCACCAACGAGAACAAAAGCAGTTTCCCTTTCTAGAGTTACCCCAAGAGTTACGCGACATGGTCTACGAGTACTTTCTTGATGACCCCGTATATCCCGCGCCACCACGCCCATCCTTTCACACACCTTCGGTAGTATCGTGGATGAACCCGACCCGCTGGACCTCATCAACACCATCACGCCCCCACCAACGCAGCAACAAATGCATCTTCCTCGCCAACAAGCAAATCCACGCAGAATACATGGACATGCTATGTAAACGCTGCACCTTCAAATTCTTCGTCTCCCCAGAAACCTACAAGTCCCTCCCGCCCAGCCCTCTCCCCTCATCTCCATCCCATCCTCCCCCTACCACTACCATCGCAATACAAGAAGCCACAAACGTCTGGACCATTTCTCCCGCCACCCTCTCCAAAATCCGGCACTGCTCCCTCAGCCTCATCACCACGTCCGCTATGCTCGGCGTCACAGACCCGCGCTCCATGACCTCGTCGTCGTGGTCGCTCGGCCGCCGCATGCGCCAACAGCTCAAACACATGTCATCCATCCAGACCTTCACCCTCGACGCAAAAGCCCTCGGAGACCCCCTCTGGAACCCGCTGTGGATCTGGTACCACGCCTCACAGTCGCTCAAGCTGCTCGGCACAGACTTGTCGGATACAGTGCCCCGCGGCCCTCAGCTGAGTCGCATTACCTTTTCGCTCGACACCTGGTCACCTGGTGAGAATTATCTCAAGAGGCAGACCGAGGGCTGGACGTGGTATTGTGCAAGGGGACATGTGGTTGCCACTGATTTCGGGCACGACATGACGGTCAGGGAGTTTTGTGCAAAGTTGTACAAGGAGTGTAAGGTTTGTTGGGCTGTTGCCGAGGACGAGGATTTGCTGTAGTACAGCGTCCTTCTGTCTTACTATCTTGAGGCTCGTTACTTCTGGTAGCACAGCTACGATTTTCCGATTTCTATTCCTCATCTTTTTTTGCGTGCTATCCAGAATGAAGGACGATAGGTACTCTGCAGCATACTCCGCGTGTTTGTAATATACCCTGTTTGAATCGTATCCGTCACCTGTTTCTCTACACTGAAGCCAAAATGTTGCACCAGCGCAATCACTTCGTCATTCGTAAGTTCAAACGACCCCGGGTCACCTATCCCTGCATCGCCTTCTATCCTACTCGCTTCTCCTTCGTCCTCTTCACCATGATCTCTGCGAGGCGGCGGCGGATGCCACAGCAAAGGACCGAGATTGACCCATATGCCGCCTGGCTTCAGGCAGTTATCCACAGCCTCAATATATCGGATGAGATTCGGGGCAGTATCAATAAAGAAGACAGTCGTAACTGCATCAAATACACCTGTATAGTCTGATCGACCGTACACGACACAAAAGTCGCCCATGGACATGCTCATGCGGTCCGAGGCCGGCACGCGCGAGGCCTGTTCTTCCCCAAGTACCGTTGCCGGATGCACATCCGGTATTTCGACTGTGCGCAGCTGATCCGCCCGCGAAACGTGGTTGGAGCTGCCGAGTGCCCAGGGCGCAATGGAAAATTGATGCACATGCTTTGTTTCGTTGAGCACGAGCGCGCTGGCCATGAGCATGTGGTACGAGATTTCGTTGCCTTCGACGCTGAATCCCGCGCGGCAAATGTCGAAGACGAAACGGCCGAGGCCAACGCCTGGGACGAGGACTCTGAAGTCGCCTCGATCGTGTTCAGAAGCCGAACCAGCGCTGTTGGCGCTTTGAGCAAATTCTTCTTCCAGAGCCGATAGAACGGGGTCAAAGCATGCTTTTCTTTCCTCCTGGCCTTGCTCACTCCATTCGCGGTAGAATTGATTTACACAACTCCTTGCCTTTTCCAGGTCGTTTTGGCCCGCCTTGCTTCCCCGGCCATCTACTATGAGCGCGTCTAGCACGATATCGAACACTTTGAACTCATCACGCGCATACTTTTCGGGCACGATGGACGCAACCCACTCGCTGTCCAGAGTGGGCGCCAGAAAAGACTTGAAGCCCGCAGCAAATATGGCTTCGGCCAGGTTAGCGTTCTGATCGATTAGATCGTCTACAGCAGAGAAGGTGCTCAGGAGAGAGAAGGGGGGTTGCGAGAGTAGGGTCCAGTGGGCAGAGGGGAGTGAGTAAAAGGCTTGGCGTCGTGTGTGAGTAGCATTGTAGTGCGCGTGGCGGCGGTAGGAGCTGGATTGCATATGTTAGTGGAACTATGCAGGCCGAGCAAAAGCTGATACGTATGTATGTACCGGAATGAGTCTAGAACTGAGATGATAAGTTTCTGTTCTTCGGGATCAGATGTGGGATCATAGTTGTCGTGCAAATCCTCCTCTTCCATTTTTTCTTTTGTAGGCTCTACGTATATATCGTCCAAAATGCTACTATGTAGATGATTGGATTTTGTGGAGAGCTTTTTGTCTCTATGTTGATAGTTTGTAACCCCGCCTGCAGCCGTATCTCCACACTTGTGAATTGCACGTCTTGACAGTTGAGACGGAGAGATCCGGTATTTTGATATTTTCTATGACTTCATTATCAACAGAGGAGATTGGTCGTGCGGAGGATATCTGAGAAGTCGCCGGTTCGCTCGGGAGAACATCTTGTTGGAAGGTCTGTGACGCCACCAGGTACGTACTAGTGACAGCGGTACTACCCCACCTGCCACTTTCCCAACCCACATACGAAGCCATAGCACGTCTCTGCAACCTCACTTTTCTACGACGCGCCATGGCCGCCTCAACCTCCCAGACTGGCGCGTCGCATGCGCCCATACAGGTGTCCTTTCCTCTGCCCAAAGCACCCGCCACAAATATCCACCTGCAACTCACAAACAATGGCCCCAATCTCGTCGTCTTCCTCACCACTTCGACGGCCGAATCTGCATCATCTGCTCCGATGGGGTCTCTCGTTTATGCCATGCCAAATGTGCGTCTTCAATTGCTCGCCCTACACGTACTAATGTGCTTGCCACGCGCAAATGCTAAATTATCATACACAGAAAGTCACACCTGCCGAGACGCTGAGCACCCCCCTCTTCACCCACAGTTCCACGCTAGATTTCACAACACGGTTGTCCAAGGTTCTTGCGCGTAAGACAGGGAAGCCCGTATACGTGGGAAATTCATCAAGCTTTGCGAGTGCGGGTATGGGTGGGACAGTGGAAGAAGAGATGGAGGGGTTTAGGAGGGTGGTGGAAGTTGTCATGGGATTGCTGAAGGAAAAGAACTAGGGCATCGACGACTGGAAACGCAGGAATGTTGTAAAGCAATTGATATGGTGGTCTGTGTGTGTGAGTGACGGTCACAATCTTACTAATGGATGCTGCTAACAGCGCTCAAGGCCAAATCAGATGCATATGAAAAGCTGAAGACGCGAAGTGTAGAGCATTATTGTCATTGATGGTGCTAAAACACTCATGTCTACCGGTTTGGCTCAATGCCTTCCCTCCTCATCGATCCGCCCATAGGCATTAAGCCCTAATCGCATAGCTCCGAGCAGCTTACAACTGTCCCAGCCTCTCCTCAGCGCTCTGCTTAGCTTCGTCGGAGACGTTGGGATTCTTCAGAGTAGCCTTGAGGCCACCAGCGACGTTGTTGGGGTTCTTGTCCTCGTCGCTGGTGGACTTGGACGTGATTTCACCGCCGTTCTCGAGATTCTCGAGGACCTCCTTGGAGTGCTGCTTGGCCTCGTCCGAGGTGTCTTACATGAGTCAGTAAAAGTGTAAAAGAGAAGTGTAGGGAAACCAACTGGGGTTGTTGATGTTGGCCTTGTGGCCTCCAATGACGTTTCCGGGGTTGGCAGACATGTTGATGGTTGTTGGCAGGAGAGTTTGAAAGGTGGTGTTGGTTGGATGTTTGTTGTGAAGATGGATGAGTTGCTGAGTTGATGGTGAGAGCAAAGACGAAGAATTCAGGTCTTCTTATACCTGTCCAAACGACTGATGTTCACCATTCCTTTGTTCTCGCAACATCGTCATCGTCGCCATCGCGCGATCTGCTGCATGGCCTGGGTACTCCTACGTCAACGATCGGATTGCTGCACATCAAACAATGAGATCCCAGATGCACATCTTTACTGTGCGGCCCGAGGAGCATAGGGTCAGGTACACGATGCGATGGGACTAGCCCCTTACATTTTATGAAGACATCATGACTCCCAGATGATCGTCCCGACAAGCCAGGTACACAGGCCCCATCAACGTACTGCAGCCAATGCCGTGCGACTGGGCGACTAGCATGTACATGGTGCACATG